CACTCTTTCATCCATTTTAGTACTAGCTGTCCAAAATTGTTGAAATTAAAACTGATGAAAAATTTGTATGTATAAAAAGTAAAACCTGAATTAAAAAAATATGCAAATAGGAACTAAACAAATAATTTTGATATAAAAAATTGTTTAATAGTGATCCTTGCGCAGCAGTTGTTGAAGTGTCACTTGGGCATGGATCCGTGTGGCAGACTCTTGTTTATCCTTTTTGGTCTGTGTGCTGTTGCTAAAGCAAACCTCTTACCCGAATCTGATTGAGCCAGCCAACAGAAAAGATCCAATTATTGCAAAATTTACACAATTTATAGATAAGGCTAACTCTTGTATGGCGCCACGCCAATTGTTTTATCTTCATACCACGGTTACATTACATGGGGACTCCACCTTTTAATTTTAATTTATTCCTTATATATATATACCTCACTCGGTTATGTTTCAATTCTCACAACAAGAAAAGCATCTCATTCAATCCAAACAGTAGTAGTTGAAGTGCTAATTTCAGTCCCATATATATTTTTGTTGCTAGCTTCTGTAGATTTGAAGTCATGTCTGCACTGGTGGATATATGGACAAAGGAAGTGTCCAAGCTGAGGGATAAAGATCAAACCATTTACTCTGCTAGTGCTGCCACTCAACATGAATCTGCCCTAGCCTCACAGGAAAAGGACAATAACTCATCTGGGGTGCCTGTGCTTGGCAAACTCATGCAATTTAACAAGCCTAGGTTCATGTTTTCGGAGGCTTCACTTTCCATGTTTGTTCAATGTTTTAATCCTTGAAGAACAAAAATAATAATACAATTCAGTGACTTTGTTTGCTTTTATTAACCCTTGGATTGATGTGTGTATGTGTATATATTGCTCCTTCAAATTTCTGATGGAATCCCTTGTTATTTTGTATCTCAGACACAGACAATTCAATTTATCTTTTATCTTTTTTTTTTTGTTAATTAAATTACAACTTTAATTAATAATACAATGTTCAAATGGATTTATCCATATGATCAACCATTACAAATTTCACGGGGCATTTTCAAGTAAACGCGTATTCAGATTTCCGAGTAAATACTGACACACCAGACACGGAAGAGATATCATTTTCATACAATAAAATCCTGCAGCCATTTATATGATTTTCCCCCACCATATTACTTATTTTATCTCATATTTATTGTATAAATATAATTTTTCTGCGTTGGAATAGTAATTGTAATAAAAGCACCCTTGTCTTGTCCTGTTTTACAAGGGAAGCTTCCTCTAAATTGTTTTCAGAAAAGAAAAACCAGACTAGTCCCTCCGAAGGACTTGTTGGACAAATTAATGCAGATCGATCCTAATTTGTGTAAAATGAGAAAATTAAAAAAAAATCGTATTAATTTAAACTGAAGTGTTTTATAAATTTAATTATTACTCTGAATAATTGTAAAGAAACTCTTGTTTATTTTACAAATTTGTTCATTTTAAAAAAATTAAATATAATTAAAAAGGAAAATGAAAGGGACTGTGGTGGGAGTGGTGGGACATGCTGCTATAGACTTTCATTGTTCCTGTTTTTTCTTTGATTTCCCTCTCTCTTCCATTATAAGAGCTTGTTTCTATTGAACCGTCACATTCACAATTCACAATAAGAGACTTGATAACAAACCAATATATTTGGAGGCACACTTGTTCTAACTATCCCATGTGCAAATTATTGAACCATCGCATTCTTTTCTCACTTATCACCAAAAGTGGTAGAACAGGGCAAGAGATGCATTCTCTATTGACTCGGCCTCTAAATATAAACAGCAGGACGAGTAGTGTGTCTTATTTTATTTTCCATTTTACTAAGTTTAAATAATCTTTCAATATAATTAAGTACCTGAAAATTTTAATACAGGATTTCGCTATATGTATTAAAACTAGACACTAAAGTTTATGTATGAACTATCTGAAATTCAGTGAATTTGGGAGAATGAATGATAAAATAGTTGGAATAGTGTGAGATACCTTTACCTTACAAATTAATTTTAGTTTTATAATATTGAATTAAATTCAAGTCTATATTATAAATAATTATTATATTTAATATGTTAAGTTATTAATGTAAAAGAGGTTGTGCATATTAACTAATAAAATAATAAAATAAAATATATAAATTAGAGTAATCTTTATAAACTTGTCTAATATTGAATAAGTATATAATTAAACAAAAAAGAATTCTTAGTTTGGAACATAATTATACTTATCCATTTTGTTTGAGAAAAAAGAAAAGCAATAATTGCATGTTTACACTTACCTTATTCTGGCCCTTCAATAAATTTGAAAGCATAATGATATTGCATGGACAATTACTAGGACGAGTGGGGTGGACCCCAACTGAGAAAAGACAGTAACAGTAAGCCAATAGAATTGTCCCACAGAATATCCGAAAGTTTTGAGCTTATCCAATTCAACCGACTCAGTCCTGTGTGCCACCGCATCCAAGGGGCGCCAAAAGCTCCTAGTTTCTAACGCACCCTTTCTAGTTCCTATATATAAACTCACCAACAACATTCATGCAGAAAGTAGAGAACAAGAGTTTTATAAATAAGTGCTGAGAAAAGAAGAATGTCTGCTATGGTTGAAGTATGGTTTGGGGAGCTGACAAAGCTTAGAGAAAAAGTTCTTGCCCGCAAAGCCAAAGAAGGATCAGAAAGGGGACATGAAGAAAAGGAAACTCCAAAGAAGGAGAACAACACTGCAGTTCAGAGTGCTGGAACCATGTCTGAGGCCACAGTGTGTTTGCTTATGGATCGATTCGTGCCTTGGTAATATCATTTAGCTCACATCAAGGAATCACGAGTGATAGCAGAACCAAGATCTCTTGTACATATTCTATCAGAGTTATTAGTCCTCGAGATATGTTATGCAAATGTTACTTAATATTATTGTACACAACTATTGATCTAAGCAAAACATATTACTTGGTATCTAAATTTGTATTTTGAGTTTAATTTTATAATATTTTATAGCATAATGTAGATAACAAATTCTCGAGTTTAGAAGGTGATACTGTGAATGTCTGTCTCTTCATCATAAGGGAGCACATGGTCGTGCCTTTTTGTTAATTTGTTTAATGCTAATTGTTGTCTTTCTTCGGGACTTAAAAAAACTGAATTACTGCTGCTAAATTTCCCAACTTTTATATATATATATATATATATATATAAGTTTAGATATTTTCGATTATTAGAAAAAAAGTGCCCTTTGGTCTCTGGATATTTGTCAAGCCTGAAAAAATATCAGAGTTAGTACGAGACAAGACAGTTATAGTCACACCCTACTAAACTCATTGATTTCGTGGTAATGTTTAATATCAGGGTGAGAAAGAAACAGATTCTTTTATAATTAATACTTTTACAAACAAAAATCTTCATTTCAGATTTGAGTGTAAAAAATATCTTTCATTCTTACATTTTGTGTACAAAATATAAATATTTTTCAACAAAATATCTTTTTATATAAAAAGAAAACTTTTTCTAATCCTCTGCACATTTTGTGTAGTGGACAGATTTTGTAGAGGACAGGGTCCAACTTCATGAATCAATGATGAATACTAAAAAGAACACTCTTCGAATACTAAAATTAAATGTCCTGTACATAACACCTATCTCTATCTCACACAAACACAGCGATGTTAAGTCGACAATGAAAACTGATCTTATAGTTTTTGGAATCCAGTGTTTAATAAATTTTATCTTCTGGGTGATTTTGATTTTATACAATTAGTTTCAGTTAAAATTATATTTAAAATGTAGTTATTTGAGTTAAAAAGTTTCATTTGTAATAAAAGTTAATATAAATTTGTTAACATGGAAATATCAACGTTCTTTTATGAAATTTTCGCATCTTTAAATAATTTAAATTTTGGACGAAATCAATGATAATACATCGATACTGCAGTGAAAAAATAAAAATTATATATAATATTTTATTTCTTACGAAACATATTTTTAAGAATAAAGTTAATTTTAACTTATGATACATACATACATGAAATTGTTATTGTAAAATTACATTTACAAAAATGCATGTTTGGGGAGACGAGCAATAAGACCATATGGTAGCAGCATGAATTCTATCACAATGAAGATTACGTTGCACCATTCCCTTCAATATTAATCGCAGCACATATTGATTCCAAAATGTGAGAGAGAAAATATATACGGAGATTTTCTAGGAGGGATAATAGTTATTATATTTTTCATCAGAACTTGCCTCAAATGTTGTGGATGTTATCTCAGACTTCTCATTTCTCAAAGAGGTGTCCCATTTTTCCCACACCATAACCTCTCTGGCGTATCTAAGAGCTTCATCAACAGTACTAGGTTCCAACCCAGTAACCAATGAAACAAACAGCTTCCGATTAGTGAGAGAATGGAACAATCTCTTAAACTTCAAACCAATGTATTGAAAAGCACGTTGAGCCAATGGAGGATGATTGCTATATTTACTAATTTTAACCGTCTTTTGGTTGTGGCTAATAACCGGATGGAAATCATTAAACCATTCACATTGTGTTAGAGGCATCCTTTCAATCTTTTCCTCGAGCAGATCAAACTTGGTCAATAGTAAAAGAAAATTCTTGTTTCTGAAGACTCTGTGAGTGATAATATTTTCAAAAAGATGTTTGGCTGCTAATATTTTGTTGGTAGCAACTCCATTACTGTCTACTGTGTACTCATCATAGTCAGTTAAGGCAACAGAGAATAAGACTACATCAGTGTCGTCAAACATATCCAACCACTTGCAGTTTACTCCAAGGCTTTTTGAATTTATTCTGATGAGCTGGTAGCTAAAAATGTGATAACAAATTACATTCAGTACATTGCCAAAAAAAATTACCCATTACAATGCCTATGGCTCTATGCTTTGAGTGATCCATATCAGATAGCTTAATTTTGGTTTGGAATTAAAAAAGATTCAATGCATTACTTAAAAGCTGAAGATTGTTATCACTGGATGTTCACTAGACTTGAGCTCAATTCAAAAGTAATATATTATCATGTTTAAAATTAATGAAATGAAAGGTGACCTGAGTGAAGGATCATGTTGATATGCAGGGTCCAATGAGTCTTCATGACCTGACACAGTAAATGAAAATTCCATAGAAGAAAGACTATTGGATAAGGTTATCCCCTCAGAATACAAGATGTCCATGTCCAAGGGTTCGTAATCTATGCTGGAAATTTCAACAGCCTGCATCCGAATAAATATTTAGATTTTGAGGTAATCCTATGTTACAAATATCCACACAAAATTCCCACTAAAGTGATTGAGGTGGCAATCCTGTGCCTTATTGGAAGAAACTCCATGAATCCAAATGGGATTAAAAAGAAAAGAAAAGAAAAGATAAACAGTTTTTATACGGTGATAAACCATTATAAACAGTCTACATTGTGTCAAATCAGTTATTCCAACTCTATTGACAAACAGAACGATATAGAAAATGGCAACAAAGTAAAAATAGAATAATTTAAAAAGAGAAAAAAAAAGTTGCATTAAATATTAATGAGTTATGTGAGTTCAAATGAATTATAATGGGATGATGAATATAAAGAAGGCAAAACAAATCTTACTCGCTCTAGAAAATAATTAGCATTTGTTGGTAAATTTTTTATTTCATTTCTCCTACTATATGTGGCCCGAATGGCTGCATCTCTCCACAGTTCTTCCACCAGTGGAGCATATTCACGAGCAGCAGCTGGAAATATTGCTTCCAAGTTACCTGAAACCGTGTATTTCAGTAGCCATTCTGAGAATATCTTCAGTCTTGGACCAATGGAATAGGGTGTCCTGTCAATAATTTCCCCACTAATCCCTGTTTCAAACTAAACATCAATAACTTTCTATATAAATTGCCAATATATTGTAAAAGCTTCTTTAGTTAGCTAATTAACAAGGGGCGTGTGATCCAATACTAATACATGGCTTATAAAGACTAGAAAGTAAAAGAATAACAATTAAACACTTGTGTATTTGTAAGTAACTAGATGACTCATTTAACTAACCAAACTAACTTCACTATGATAATACCCCCACAGTAAAAATGCCTGCGTGATACTGAATAACAAATTCACTTTCAGTTTAGCAAATGAGGAAATGAACAATAATCTTGTTATCAACATTATTAAAGATTTAATGGATAAAGCCATTTTACTTTATAGTCAATGTTATCTAGAAAAAGAATACAAAAGCATGTGTTTAAAAAAATGCAGACAAATACTTTATTCAAAGAGAAACAATTACCAGAAGAAGTTGATTCATCAACATGTCGTCCTTTACTTTTCTGACACCAACTCTCTTCAAAATATTCTCGCGCCTCCAGTAGTACACCAAGGTACCTAAACAAGTTGCTTTGAATAACCAGCTTAATGTTTTGGCGCTCATTTTCAGAGAAAGGAACATTATACAGAAGTTTGGCCTGCAATAAAAGATTCAGACTCGGTACTTAGTGTCTCTAAACATCAAGGCTTCAACATAAAAAATTTACAAAGAGTTCTTTGGATGTCAAGGAACTAGACATCACAGATAGAGAAAAGAAAGAAAAAAAATCTAACGGGCTGCATGAAATTTTGATTTATATCAAGAAGCAATTTATGTGGCAAAGATTAGGCACTAGCTACAAGAATCAACTATCAAGATGTTTATATGCTAAACTGACATTACTTACACACTTAAACCAAAGTTATAAACCGAGTCTTTTTTGATATAAATTAGAAATACTTTTAAGAGTTTCTCTACTAAAAAATAAATAGCATTTTCAATAGAAAAACCTTCAAAAACGTTTTTAAATTTGTATCCAAGCAGACTATTTCTACTTTCTAAAACTAATATTATGGAGAAAAGGACAAAAGGGACTGCATTGGGGACCTTAAAATCTTTTAATACATTTTGCAGTAAACTCAAACTAATTTAAGTTTTATATATCCAATAATATTTTGATTAGATTTTGTCTGATATTATGAGACTACAAGTAAATTCAAGAGCTGAAATTGGCAGCACCTCAAAAACCAAACAAATGCATGACAAAATAATTTTCCTCAAGCAGCATCTTACCTGTTTAAATATGGTACATGTTCCAGACTTGACAGAACCAACAAGTAAAAATTTGTGATGCGTTTTCTTTTGAAGGTTGTGTTGGCCAGTTCCATTTTCTCCTTCGCCAGCAGGAGTCAAAGAGCTAGAAGGAACAGGCAGTGATAGAAATAGAGAAACCAGCTTCACTGTAGACTGTTATAGAGAATGCATACCACAGTTATTGTTGAGTGATTATAACTATAAGAAAAGCAAAACAAGGCAAAGTCGATTGAATTTAATAAAAATCCACTGACATCAAAAGATTTATACACAATCATCCAATTATGGATTACTAAGTTGTCATATGTTAAGATTATTAAGTTACTAATAATGACTATAAAAGTCATCTAGGTGATTCTTATTTACTTGATAGTGTAAATATCTTCACAACTGTCAAAATTAAACTCAACATCCATCTACTCATGAATTACCTTCTCCCATATACGCCCCTTGACATTCCTCTGTCCCACTTCGCTGTATGATCCGTCATGACTCACCCAAAAGTCAGTTGTCCCCTCACACGGCACTCTTGCCCACTGCAAACAAACAAATTAGCACTTCACTTAACAGTTTCAATCGGATAAAACTTGCATACAATACTATCAGAATTAGAATTTCATTTTAAAAATATGCATAATAAAAGATGTATAATAAGACTAACAGTATCTGTGAGCATGTATCTAAGTTTTGTCCCTTTCAAAATCCACAATATATGAAAATTGCCAGAGCAACAACAACCTTCAGTAGCCGTAGCTCTTCTTTGGTAATCTCTCGACCATTTATAGTTACATTTGTCATTCCATGGCTTGCATTTCTCTGCAGGTCACCCCCAATCTCCAAGGCTGGGCTAATAATTTGACTTGGCCGTTGACCTTCCTGCACGTTCAAGAAGTACACCATATTTGAGCTTTACTTGTAAAAAGACATAAAGGGTAAGATTAAGTTCAATAAGCTGCACTGAGATTAAGAGTATGTTTAGTTACAAGCTTAGAAGAGATTTTAAAAGTTTCAACTTGAAAAAGCTCATTATTTTCGATAGAAAAATTCTCATATCTCAAAAGCTCATCCAAACATGTAACCAACCAAACACGCCCTAAACTGAAAGAAAGAATATATATGAAGGTTTGATTTGATTTTCACCTTTCCCCAAAATCCAGATGATTTATCATACCAATAGAAACCCGGTTTCAATCCTTTTGGTGGGTTTGAACATGTCAAAAGCAACACGAGCTGATCCCAATCAAGAGGCTCTCCATTCACACGAACATATTCTGCCGGTATTTGATTTATTTCACAAAGCATCTCATCTTTCATTATTTGCTTCACTTCCCACCGAGACAACAAGTTCTTGAGCATCCGAGAAGGTTTGCCAAGCTTCCCCCTCTTGTTCTCGTCAATCCTATAACCAATGCAAGTGACACATTTTCTTCCTTCAGGCATGGACCCCATTGCTCTAACCACACAGTTGCAGCAATACTTAGCACTGCAAACAATACAAACTTCCCTCTCAGTGAAATGATTTCCTTTAAGGCATCGATAACACGACCCTTTCTTCCCATCTCTCACAGCATGTGGCCTCACACGATCACTCTTACTCTTACTATTAATATTACTATTACTATTACTTTCTCCACCAACATACTCAACAAACTCTTCATCATGATCAGGAAAAGTAACCACGGAAGGTTGTTTAACATGTTTTGGACTAAGACGGTTTTCATCATGATCCTCTTCTCTGCATGAAAGTGAGTCAGAAGAAGTGGTTAAAGCCGAATCTACGTTGGTTTTTCTTCTAAAGGGTTGGATTACTGGGAGTGACAAGTGATGAGGGGGAGAAGGAGCAACATGAGCAAGTGGAACTTGGTGAAGGTTGAAAGGAAGTGCTTCTGGGACGGAGTAGCTGAGAGGAGGGCCTTCGTATTCCTCTGCAAAGGAATACTCATAGCTGTAATCACCACCATCATCATGAACTATAGGCACACGTAGTTTTTTCAGAAGCAAAGCCATCAAAGTTTCAAAAGCCAAGTGAAACAAACTTGTTTAATCTTCTTCCATTGTTTGAGACGTGGTATCCATCATCGTGACTGAAGAAACAGCAAAGTGAGTAGTGATTGCGTAGGAAGAAGACCAGCGTGGGAAAGTGTGGCAGAGGTTTTGGTCATGAATGAATGAACAACGTATTCAAAAGGTTAGAATGGAAATAAAGTAGAAAAAGAAATGGACAACAACGACGGCTACGAACCTTTCAAACTACACGGAATGCTTTGTGCTATTTATTTATTTTTAAGTCATGAAGCCCCCAAGCTCACACAGTTAATTTTTGTTTCAAATATTATTTTAAATTTTAAATATATTTTTTATTTCTATAAAATTAATAAGTTTTGATTTTAGTTTCTTAAAACTTTTTCTTTCTTTTTATTTTTATAAAATTAAAATTATTGTTTTCAGTTTCTATTTTTACGTGATTATTTTTTAATTATTTTTAATTTATTAAAAAATTAAGTAATTATTTTAAGTATTATTTATAATTATTATTGATATTATATTATAATAATATTTAGCATCTTAAAAAAATTATAAATTCTTAAAATAAATATTATTTATTCATCTTAAAAGAAATATTACGAACTAAAAATAATTAGTTTAAATTTTAGATAGATAAAAATAAAAAAAAATTATAAAATTTAAAATCAAAATTTAATTATTTTATAAAAATAAAAAATAATATTTATAAATTTTAAAAAAATGAAAAATAAATTAAAAAAATTTAGAAAAATCAAAATCAAAATCATTAATTTTATAAGGACTAAAAAAGTTTTTTAGTCTTATTTTAATACATATGAAAATTAATCTCAAAATACCGAGTAATCATGGAGAAAAAGATTTGGTTACTTTGTGTTATTCTTAAAACATATCACACCTATAAAATTCATTTGTTAATTATTTATTTTTTAAAATATCCTCCAAAATATGCACTCATATTTCGTTGGAAAGGATTATTATGAACGACAAAAATTTATTTATGAATATTTAAAATTATGTAGTTAAAAATCAAACTCAAAATCATTAATAAGATGAAATAATCTCATAACTATTTTTGTTGATATGCAGATTATTCAATTTGTTACCCGTAAATAATCAATGAATTTAAGTACTTAATGTTTTTGTAAAACATTTTGTTTCACAAGTATTTTCGAGAGAGAGAGAAATTTTTTTTTCCCATAATCTACAATCAATTTATACATAATTTTAAAAAAATATTTTTAAAAAAATTGATGAGGATTTTTTAAATTGGCTTATCCATAAGCTAATTTACTTTTTAAAGAAAAATTTGTTTTATCCTTCTAATTTTTAGCCTAAAAGTATCTATGAGATGTTATCCGAACAGTATAAAGAATAAGTTAATTTAAATAGAAGTGTAACATGCTAGAAACAGGAAAAGGTCAATTGAAATTGACATTTTTTTTCTTTGAATTAAATGTAAAAAGATCACATTATTTATTTTAAAGAGAGTCAACACTCAACAAATAATAAAAGAAGAAAAAAAATTATATTGTCTCTCAAGTACTAATCCATCTCTCAAATTAGGATCAGGACTTTTGATGTTTTGTTTTGTGGAAAATTTATATTATTGAGAAGGGAAGCTGACTTTTTCTTGCTAGAAATGGCATGATAACTTTTGTGGACTCCAAAATAGAAGCCCACAATAGAAGGCCCACGCTTTGCAGTTGGGTTAGTTGTGTGCCCAACAAATACACATGATATGTACACTCTATTCCATTGCTATAACTATAATATTATCAATTTTTCAGGTCACTTCACTTCTAATTATTCTAAGACAAATAATAATTAATGTTTATAGATTATAAAATACTAACCAATATTTTGAGGACGTTGATTTTAGAAAATAAAAAATAAGAAATAGTGAAAGGATAAATATTTATAATTTAAACATCCACAACAAGGATAAATTATTTAAGATTATGATATCAATCACTAGGGGTTTGCTAACATAGTTGGGTTAAGATCTTGGATTGTGACATGAGAAACACATTGTGAACTTTCATGTGAGATGGGTCCATTTTTTTTTATTTAATAAAGAAATATAACTCTTTTTCATTGTACCGATCTTTATAAGAATTTAGTTTTTTAAAAAATTAATTTAGAAAACAAGTTTAATTGTTTAAGGAAATTGAAATAATACACACAAAATTTTAAGTTAGAACTTTATTATGGTGATTGTAATTTTTTTTGAATAAAAAAAATTACTGAATTGAATGTTTATAAATATTCAATACTTGGTAACTCTTCAACAACCATAATTCCTTGTTGTGAGCAATAAAACCATCATGATGCCTCTCATTTCAAAACACCCATTTGCACCTAATAGTATTGTAATGATGTTTTGGAGGAATAAAAGGCCAAGTGTCATTAGTTAGGAGAACATTTAACTGTTAACTCATTGTCATCTTCCATTTAGAATTTTTGATTAGATGCATGAGAAGGTTCAACTCATGGAGGAAGAATGAAGTTTTTTGTGTAATATAAAGTCATACACAACGAAAACATTTTTGTTGTGTAATACTTGAGTTCATTATTTTATTTTTGCAATAAAGACAAAGTAATAAAAGAGCATACTGAATAGAAAACATAAAGTAGCAAAAATTACAAACGGATACTTTGATATATTGTTGGCTGTACATGGAAGAGAAGATGTTCCTGCTGCTGATGTTGTTTTTAAATTTTATAATATTCTCTAAAAAAAATAATTTAAATAAATGAATAAGATGAATTTTTTGTCTTAATATTTTGATGTACTCCATTAATGTATTTCAACTAAAAATGGATTGCAGCACATCTTCTAATAGTTTAGGTGATTGAAAATTGTTTTAAACTGATATGTTAAGGGTTGGTCAAGGCAAGAATTTTCTAAAAATTACTTTAGAGATGATCAAAATAATTTCTTTTTAAAAGTAGAGGAAGAGAAAATAAACATTTCGATATCTAGTTAATTATCCAAATTGTGGCCTATAAAGACCAAAAATGACATTGTTGCTAGTGATAAAAAGGGAAAATATGAAAAGAGAAGGAAATTCGAGAGAAAAAGCAAAAATATATGAAAGAACAATGTAATATTCACATTCAGACTTGTAGGAAAACGAACAATTTTTCATGCATAACAATTATACTTGTATTCTACTCATCCAGGAGTACATTAGTGGAAATGTACTGCTCTAAAGACGTAGTGTAGAATGCGCTGATGGAGAAGTTGAGACCTACGTAAAAAAAATCTTATTTATTTTGTATATGTGTGTGCACACATAGAGATGTAGAGATTTTGCTCAATACACACATTGAATAAAGGTACTTTATAAAATCATCGTATGGACAACTTGATACGTTGTTAAACATGAAGGAAACTTGGACCTATTGTTTAAAGCTACTTGTATCGATTATCCCAAAACGCAAAAGCACACAAGAAATAAAATTTGCGGTTTTTTTTTTAATTTATAAATCATTTTTATGTAGGGATGACAACGTAACGAGATGAATGAGTTTCATTATCTCTGTCTCTATACTTTATCATCGTTTCCATATCATATTCTTATTCTCATCCACATAATTGATAGATATGAAATTTGTGTCTCTATCCTTGTCTCTGCTAGGTGTTAAATATACTCATACTTGCCTATAAATTAAATATTTTTTTCAAAAAAAATATATAAAAAATTAATAGAGAGTAACAATTACGAAATTATATTAATTAAGTTTCATTTGACATAAATTTAAAATAAAATAAAAAATACATAAATGTTAAGTAAATTTAAAAAAAAATAAAGTTTACAAAAATTTAAAGGCGGTATGGCTACAGGACAAATAAGTACTTGTCCCGTCTTTATACCTAATTTAATAAATTAGGTATTAGTTGTACTCATATTCAATTAAAACTATATTGTTCGTCAAAATTGGGGCAGATTCAAATATTACCTATGGGTACAAGTTTATTTTTCTTCTATACTTTTATGTTAAAGATGAAAATAAGAGCTTGAAAAAGTAAAAGTTATCTTTAATTTGTAAAAACTACTTATTTTTATTATATTATTTTAAAATAAGCTATTTTTTTAAATGCTTTTATAATAAGAAACACAAACCTTCTTTATATTATTGACAAATTAAAAAACATTCTCAATGTTCCAAAAAAAAAAAAAAAAGGAGAGTTTTCAATGTTTCAACAAATTAACTAAGAATGAAAGACATTTTTATAAATTTATAATTTTATAAAAATTAATCTTTGATCATTAAATTTTAATACTAATCACATAATAGATACTAATTAATGTATATATATATATATTAATCTTTTTAATTATCTTACTATATCTTTCATAATTATCCAATAATATTTTATTTAAAATTTATAATTTATTTTGTATACTAAATGTTTTTTTTCTTCATAATTTAGTTTTTAAAATTAAATTAAGAAACATGAAATACAATGGTGGTTGCTCAAAATATTGTATATACTAATCGTTTATTTTTTTAGATGATGCATGCAAATCGCTTATTGTTGAATAATAAAAATAATTATAATTTTTTAAGAAAGAAACTTGAGAGTATTTTTCCGCTTGATATCCTCTAACTTATTCATATATATATAATTTAATTAGTTAACTTACAAAATTTTAACCTTTTAACTTTTAATTAATTTTTAATTTTCAAAAATTTAACAAGTAATTTTTTTTTTTGCGTGTTAAACATAACTTTGGTGAATCACAATTGAGAAGCAACAAAACAAAATTTGGTTTTTTGTCCAAAAAAATATAATAAAATTATGTATACATGAATCATACATAATAAATTCCCAATTTATAATTTAGTAAGACATTAGTTTTCATTCTCAACTTATATTTACTCAACAATGTAGAATGTGTATTATACTTCCTATAAAGTAACATTAAGTTAAGTAAGTTTAGAGTAAAGTATAAATACAAATATTTATAAGGTGCAACTAAAATCTTGTTTGCAAGAGTAATAATAAATAAGGTGATTAACTTAAAAGATTTTTTTTACATTGAATTATCTTTCATAAAGATAAAAATGTCATGTTTTACTTGGATACAAAAATGTTTTCATATTAAAAATGTAAATGAATTTTTTTCACATATATTAGATAATTGTAAAATAATGTAAGAAGAGTGAGAGTAGAAGAAATAATTGTGATAAATATTATAACAAGAAAAACACATAACAATGAAAAGAAATAAAATAATAAAATATAAAAAAAATATATGAGCAAATTATAATAGTGAAATAAAAAGATAAGAATAAAAAAAAGTGAAAAAGATAAATATTTAAAGCTCTGTATAAACAATCTACAAATCACATTTACAAAATGTAGTTGATCCCGCTTACTTATCCTAAACAAACATTTGTAAGCAAGAGAAAAATTCTAAAGTTAACAATTATTAAACAAAGAATGTTCCTATGTAAAAATTATTCTTCTACATATTTAATTACAATATTGATTTCTACTTTGTAACTGTCTCTCATTCCTATTTTGGTAGTCACTAACACTACTAATATTGTCTTGGAGGGGGTTGTTTGTGGAATTGTTGCCATAACCATTCACGTAATTGTTTTTTATACTATTACTATTATGATTGATATTGTTATTGTTCTTGCCAATACTTTTAACACTATCACTATTATAGTTGTTATTATTAATACTTTTAGTCCACTCATTATTGTGGTTATTATTGTTATTGATATTGCTATTAACATTATCATTATTTTTGTGGTTGTTGTGGTGGTGGTCATTACTTCTACTATTATCATTGTTGTGAGTGTTTTTGCCATTTCCATTGTTTATGGCATTATCAATGTTGGTCATATTATGGTCATTACCATAAACCCTATGACTGTTGTGGTTATTGATGTTATTGTCACCCCTTTTAGCATGATCTTTGTTGCAGATAATACTATTAGTGCTACTACTTTTAATATTATTATTTTTGTAGTTGTTGTTATTGACACTACTTTTAACAATCTCACTATTACAATTGTTGTCATTGTCACCCTTTTTAGCATCATCATTATTGCGGATGTTATCATCATTAGCATAAGCAGTATCATTATTGCATTTGTTGTGATAATTGTCACCATTTTTATCACTATCACCATTGTGGTTGTTGTTGTCCTTTGTACCATTTTTTCTATTATTACTACTATGATTGTTGTAGTTGTCATTGTCACCTCTTTTGACATTATTATTATTGCAATTGTTATTGACATTGTCACCACTTTTAGCACTTCCACTGTTGCAATTGTTGGTACCATTGTCAACCTTTTTAGTATCATCATTATTGCAGATGCTAATACCATTGACAGAATAACCATTTCTACTATGGTTATTGTTGTCATTAATATTCCTTTGAGCATCATCACCTTTTTGGTTGTTGTGTATATTGCCACCATTTTTAGCATTAATATCATGAAAGTTATTATTGTATCCACCTTTAGTACTATCACTGTTGCGATGACTGTTGTGATTGTCATCCTTTTTAACATTAACAGCATAACAACTATTGTCATTACCACCACTTTTAGTAACATTCCTTTTGTGGGTTTTATTGTCACTATCATCACTTTTAGCACTTTCACTATTGCGATTGTTGTTATTGTCAACTCTTTTAGCATCACCAATGTTGTAATTCTTGATATTGCCTCCATTTTTAGCATTATCTCTATTGTGATTATTTTTGTCATTTGCACCAACACTTTTACTATTGCAGTTGTCATTGCTATTGTCACTCCTTTTAGCAATATCATTGTTGAGGATGTTGTTGTCACTTCTACAAGCACTATCATTGTTACGATTTTTGGGATCATTGTCATTATTTTTTGAACTATCATCATAATGGTTGTTGTTGTCATTGTAGTCACTTTTAGCACCAATATAGTTGCGATTGCTGTTGTAGTTGTCATTGTCACATCTTTTAGTGTTGTCACTGTTACAGTTATTATTCACATTAACACTATTTTTAACACTCTCACAGTTGTAATTGTTGTTACTGTTGAAACCTTTTTTAGTATCAACACTATTGCAGATGTTACTATTATTACCATTAGCATTATTATTGCTACGGTTGTGTCTTTCATTACCACTATGTTTAGTATCATCATTGTTGCGATTGTTGTTGTTATTGTCTCCCCTTCTAACATCATCAATGTTGTGGTTGTTTTTGTTATTACCATTCTTGCAAGTATTGTCATTCCCACCACTTTTAGCATTGTCATTGTTGTAGATGTTGTCATGAACACTTCTATTAACATTCTTGTGGTTGTTGTTACCATGGTCACCCCTTTTAGCATAATCATTTTTGCAATTATTGTCATTATCGCTGCTTTTAACAATATTGCTATTGCGGTTGTTATAGTGATTGTCATGACTTTTAGCACTCTCATTATCTCGATTGTTGTTTTCATTGTCACCCTTTTTAGTATCGTCCTTGTTGCAGATGTTATTGACTTTGTTACAAGTCTTATCACTACTAAGATTGTTGTTGCTATTGTCACTTTTTTTAGCATCATCCATTTTGTAGTTGTTGTAGATGCCATTTTTAGCATTGTTGTTGTTGTTATTGTTGCTGTTGTCATTGTCACTACTTTTGACACTCTCATTATTTTGGTTGTTGTTGCCAGTGTCACCCTTTTTAACATTATCACTACCACAAACTTTGTTGTCATTGTTATAAGCATTACCATTGTTGCGACTGTTGTGATAGTTGCCACTATTTTTAGCACTACTAATATTGTGATTGTTGATATCATTGTCACTACTTTTAGCATCATCATAATTGTAGTTGTTGTTGTTCCCATTGTCTCCTTTTTCAACATTATCATTGTTGTAGTTGTTGCTAACATTGACATTGCTTTTGACACTTTTGTCATTGTAGTTGTTGTAGCCATTTCTACCATTTTTAACACTATTAACATTGAAGTTGTTAATGTTATTATTACCTTTTTGAATGCTTTCATTGTTGAAATTGTTGTCACCATTGCCATCCCTTTTAACATCATTAATGTTGCGAATGTCTTTTTTATTATAACTACTTGTAGGATTACCACACTTAATGATGTTGTTGTCATTGTCACCACTTTTAGTAATGTCGCTATTGTAGATGGTATTGTTATTTACTCCTTTTGTAGTGCTCTCGTGGTTGTCATTGTCACCTCTTTTAGCATCAACACTATCGCAGTTGTTATTTTTATTGTCACCGCTTTTAGAACCTTCACTATTCCAATTGTTGACATCATTATCACCTTTTTTAGATTCGTCATTGTTGCGAATGATATTGTCTTTGCTACAAGCTCTATCACTCCTATGATTGTTGTTGTCAATATTGTTACTCCTTTTAGAATGATCAATTTTGTAGTTGTCGTTGCCACTATTTTTAACATTATTATTGTAGCTGTTGTTGATGTCATTGTCACTACTTTTGATATTCTCATTATTGTTGTCATTGCCACCACTTTTAGTACTCTTACTATTGTAGTTGTTGTTGTCATTGTCACCTGTTTTAGCACCATTAATGTTGCATTTGTTGTCATTATCATCATTTTTAACATTATTACTTTTGTGGATGTTGTCAAAGTCATTGCTTTTAGCACTCCCATTATTGCAATTGTTGTTGTCACTGTCACTTTTTTTAACACCACTAATGTTGCATTTGTTATGATTGTCGCCACCTTTAACATTATCGTTATTGCGATTATTGTTGACATTGTCTACACTTTTGACACTCTTACTATTGCTGATGTTGTTGCCATTGTCCCCTCTCTTAGCACCACCATTGTTGTAGATGTTATTGTCATTTTTACAAGCATTATCATTATTATGATTGTTTTGGTTATTGTCACCATTTTTAGCATAGTCACCAATGTAGTTATTGATTTCATTGCCATCAATTTTAGTGCCATCATTGTGGTGGTAATTATTGATATTGCCACCACTCTTAGTACTCTCACTATTATGGTTGTTGTCATTGTCACCTGTTTTAACACCACTAGTATTGCACTTGTTGTCATTACCACCACTTTTGGCATTATCATTCTTGTAGATGTTGTTGATATTGTCACCACTTTTAGCATTATCATTAGTGTAGTTGTTGTTGACATTGTCACCACTTTTGACACTCTTATTATTGTAATTGATATTGTCATTGTCTCCCCTTTTAGTACCTCCAATGTTGTGGATATGATTGTCATTTCTATAAACATTATCATTGTTACGACTCTTCTGGCCATTGTCATCCATTTTAGTACCATCATTAATATGGTTGTTTCTGTTATTGCCACCACTTTTAACATCATCACAGTTGCAATTGTTGTTATCATTACCACCACTTCTAGCATTATCATTCTTGTAGTTGGTGTTGTCATTGCTACCATTTTTAGCACTCTCATTAGTGATGCCATTGCCTCTCTTTTTAGCATCACCAATTTTGCACTTGTTGTCATTGTCACCATTTTCATAATTTTTAGCATTATGACCATTATAGTCTCTATTACCACAATCGTAAGCACTTTTACTATTGCGATTGTTTTTTCCACTGTCATTACTTTTGGCCTTATCACCACCATGATTATTGTTGCCACTGACATAACCATTATCGCGATTGCAGTTAATGTTGTCATTGCTTTTTACGATGTTGACATTGTTATTGTCATTGAGTCTCTTTTTAGCATCAACATTGCTGCGAATGTTACTCACATTACCACAAGCATTATCATTGTTGTGGTTGTTATTCTCATTGCCACCACTTTTCACACTATCACCGTTGTGATTATTGTTGTCATTGATACCACTTTTAACACTATTACCATTGTCGTTGTTGTTTACGCCACTATTTCTAACACCATCATTGTTGTTATTGTCATTGCTTTTAGAACTATCATGGTTGTGGTTGCCATTGTCAATGCCATGAGTTCTATTGTTGTTGCCATTGCTATTACATTTAGCATTATCACGATTGTGATTATTAGTGCTTTCTTTGCTGCATTTAGCACTACCAATATTGCATTTATTGTTGTCATCCCCATAAACACCATCATTGTTGTTGTGATTGTCATTACCACTGTTTTTAACTTTGTCTCGACTACGGTTGTTAATGTCATTGCCAAAAGTACTATTACTACTATTGTAGTTGTTATCGTTGCTCCTTTTAATGCTATCACCATTGCTTTTGTTGTTGCCATTTTCATTTCTTTTGACCTTGTCATTGTTGTAGTTATTGTTGTTCTCATTGTTGATGCTTTTAACGTTACCGGTGTTGTGGTTTCTGGCTTTGTCATTGCTTTTGGTATTATCAATATTGTTGCCACCGTGCTTAGCACCATCATCGTTAGCATCGCTTTTAGCATTAGCAACAATGCAGTTATTATTGGCATTTTTGTCTGTGACACTATTTTTCTGCGGCGAAAGATGACTGAATCCAGATGGTGAGGACTTAAGACTGATTGATCTTGGAGAGGAGGAATAACTACTTCCTACTGGAGAGGAATGATAGGGCGAAGCAACATGTGTCGGTGTGGGCAAGGCCTGGCACACGTCGGTCTCTGGTGCGTGTTCAGACACGCGCCACACCTTGACGGACTTGTCCAAGCTTCCGGTGTACACAATCCAGCCTTGTGACCCCTTGTCGCGATGATCATGCGGTTGTAATTGGTCTTCCTTGACGGCGATGCACTTGATGGGACCTGAATGACCTGTGAGAACCGAGTGGCACGTGTGGAAGCCACTCTCGGTTCGCTTCCACACGCAAATGTTCATATCTGTGGAGCCGCTGAAGACGAAGTTCCCCGCCACGGCGAGGCAGAGCACGGCCAGCTTGTGCCCCTTCAGAACGTCGCCGTTTGGGAACCCACCCTTTTTGTCACGCTCCCAAAAGTTCACCAAGCCGTTCGAGGAAGCGCAATAGACCACCGTGCCTGAACGGTTCACCGCCAGCGCCGTCACGGCGTTCTCTTGCTTCAGCAAAATTTGTTCCAACACGTGCTTCGACTTCTTCCCATTCTCTTCCATCTTCCTCCGCCATAACTTCACCGTCCCGTCCGCGGAACCCGTCAAGACGCAACCCTTAAACGCCGCCACAACCGCGTTCACAGCATCACAATGCGCGTTGATCGATTCCAAACACTTTGAATCCGCCAAGCGCCACACCTTGAGCGTCCTGTCCCACGAACACGAGTACAAGAGCCCCTCCTCCTCGTTAAGGCTGAGGCTGGAAATGGCGTCGAAGTGCTTCACCTTCACCGCATTCTTGTGCTTACGAACCTCCACGTAGTTTTTGGGGTTCATGGAACACTTTACAAACTCTTTAAACGTAGGCAAGCTCCCTATGCGTTTATGTTTTCTGGGATCTTTGGCCGAAACCTTCCACACTCTGATCTTGCCGTCTTGGTGACCGGTGAAGATTTTCCCGCCGGAGATTACTATGGTTTTGACCAATCCACTGCTGGACTTGAAGCCGGTGAAGTCCTTGAGATTCTTCCACACTCTTATGTTCTTGCTGTCGGAACCGGTGTATAACAAGTCACCGGAAACCGCCAAGGAATAGATGTGACCTGTTTCGCGGACGAGGGAACCGATGAGGGCATTTTCAGGGAAGAAGTAGTCGTCGTTGTGGTTGTGGCTGAAGAGGTTAAACGCGGGTGATGAAGCTAATAGCCATGGAGACTTGCTGAGAGGAGAGGAAGAAGTATGTTGGTTGTTCCATGGGGACATGTTGTAGGGAGAGGCATTCGTGCTGCTGTCACCGTAGGCTCTGGGGCTGTCTTCGTCCGCCGCGTCGGAGTGACATAAGCCTCCCATTTGGGTTCTGTGTAAGGTGTTTGTATTTGGCTCTACTAACATTGCGCCAACGTTTGAGCTTGTCATCCAGTAACATGAAAAATGAACGAGTAAATGGGTTGGTTCGATATAGGTTTTTTGGTTCGGAGAAAGCCAGGGAGAAGATTCAAAATGTTGAGGTTAATTTCCAGGTTTGTGTTTTAGGTTGTATTTGTGTCATGGAGTAGAAAGTTGGATGAGAGGTTGGGGGACATGTGTAGTATATATATAGTGGGAGATGGTAGAATATTGCGAGACACGTGTGCTGCTCAGAAACCGGGTGAGACGGTAATGTACAATCTAAAAATGGTAAATATTTTTTTCTGTGTTCTGCGCGAACTTGTTAACAATTTTTTTTTACTTTCTAAAAGTTGCATGGTGATTAAAAGACTGCGCATTTGTTGTGAAACGAAATTTTAGGATGTCTACTAATCTTGCGCAATATTGAAGAAAAATATAATCCAAAAATAAGTGATCTATATATGCGCAACGCAACAGATGGTGGAAGTTGATCATACGAAGGGTCGCACGTGTGTCAATTAATTCATGTGTTATGAATGAACGCCATGCATGCTTGAATTCAAAGAATTGCACCGTGGTTCATATTTCTAATACAATTCTACAAGCGGCCTTTGACATTTTATGATTGGTAAAAATGCATTAAAAAATGTTTATAATCTAACATATATACGTGTCAGCATTGAGGCCACACCAAGTCAAAATCTCACCTATATGTGGGTAGGAATTTATCTTGGACAAGTTTGCCTGAAAATGTGTGATTCCTTGCGTACATGGCAATAGCTTGTAGTTAGTAGTTACACGCCAACTGCACTCTCTCTTGAACATGTGTAAGTGAAAGTGAAACAATCCTTGCCATGATCAGAAACATTCAATTTAAATAAGCTACTTTAGTTTAGAGTAATTTATTTTTACTTTATGCTTTTTTGTGTCTGCTAATTATCAAACACGTTATCCTAACGTAATGGCAAGCATGATTCTTACGTAATGCTTAATATTTGCTGCAGTGACAATTTAATTTTAAAACAAGTGTTAGCTTAGCAAAAACTTCAAGGCTCAACATTACAATTAATCAGGGACAAGTGTCCCATTGAGCTGTGACACCTGCTCCCTCGTATCATCATAAAACTAAAGTAAACAAGTTACTCGGCCTAAAAATTTATTAACTCATTCTTTCGTCTTACGAGAGAGAGAGAGAGAGATGGATAAAATCATTATGAGTAATTAAATATAAAAAGAGATGTTTTGTGTTTTTTATATATTTAAAAAAATAAAAGATAAAATATTTGAAATTGAATAATAATGGATGGTTAACTATTAAAGAGTTTGGGAGGTTTTTTTAAGATAGTTATAAGAGCATAATGAGATAAAATAAAATATCCACTAAAACTACTCCCGTGTAAAACAAAAAAAAAATGGGTATTACAAAATTTAATTAAGAGCAAAATATATATATATATATATATATATATATATATATAT